AAGTATTTTTCTTTCTTTTTAGATCACCCAGCATTGGTGGGAAACGGCCGGTGTTAAAAAAAATGTATTTATATATCTCCATGGTGAAGTGAAACACAATTCTTCCTCCGTAAGCCATGCATGTTGTAAGAGGCAACTATGCCAGGAACAAGGGGCAAGTAACCCTTTCTCCTGTATACATTACTAAATTTAAAAAGAAAAACCTTCATTTTTCTTTTTAGGTTACCTTGCCTTGGTGGGATATGACTGGTTTGATAAAAAATATATACATGTATACACACACACAAGGTAAGCTTCAATAAGTATGAATTTGAATAGTACAAAATTTGATTTAGTATGAATTATAAAATAATACCAGACCTTATTCAATAAGAATCAAAATTCGGTATGCACAAGTCTGCTGCCCACCTCACTTGCTTCTGTTACTTGTATGATGACGTGCCACAGCTTGTTATCCTATACACATTTACAGTACTACATTATATTTTAAATTTTGATAAACTGCCCTTAGGAAATATGGACAAAGGGAAAAATACAGTGCAAATGTAAAATAAAAAGGAGGAGGCCTGTTATTACATTATAACAAAACATGGATGTAATAAAGTAACATAGAAATGGCAACAGCAACTCTAAAATAGGCCGAGAGGTTGGAATGCATCAATCTACAGTACATAATATAAAACAAGCAGATAAAATACAAGAAAAAGGTACAGTTGCATCAGCTTTGTGGCTTGCCAACTACTACTAGAAACAGAAGCATTACAATGACAGAAATGGAGAGTCTCTTATCAAACAAAAGCTTAGTCTCTCTTTATGGCAGTGAAAAAAAAACCGAGTTCATGCGGAAAATTAAGAAATTTTATTGCAAGCAATGGTTGCTTTGACCATTTCAGAAACCAAATTCAACTGCATAATGTTAAAATTACTGATGAGTCTGCTAGTGCAGATAAAGAAGCTGCTGCTAAATATCCTGATTTCTTGAAGAAAATGGTGGATACACAGACCAACAGATCTGAAAACATTTCTCATGCCTGGAAAGAATTAACTGCAAGTAATATGCGTGTAGTGTGGAAACACACATTGCTTCACTGCGTAAATAATTCTGAGGGCTCTCCCTCTCAAGCGCAAGCTGTTGAAGAAATAACACACACTGGAAGGCTGCTTGGTTTTGATGGCCTGGACTCTACAAATGTCTGTGACTTGCCTGAATCAAACTCGCAAGAAATGACTGATGGAGACCTTAATATAGATCAACAATAAAATGCAATAATGTTTTCATTGTTTAGTTTATAATAAACTTGAATAAGAAATATATTTTTATTATCCTTTGGTAATATATTAAAAATTTCCATTGCATACGTATTTCCATTGGAGTGGGACCAATAACCATACTTCGTGTGCTATAACAGCTTCGAATAGCACGAATCCAATTAATGAGATTGTTTAGCAGGATTCATTATTCATATAAATCGAAGCTTTGATAGATAATATATATATTATAGAATTTATTATACAAAAAGAATGGCATCCTAAGTATGTTTTGGACAATTTTTCTTATATTTGCTGCACTCTCAATAGAAAAAGCATCAATAAAGTTCTAGTTAATATTTAGTTCAGGGTTACACTGAGTTTTGTAATAATTTACAGTTTAAACTATTCAAAAATATATGGGTTTTGCAATGTAGTTTTATGTTGTGCAAAGTGTTTATTTTTTTTTTTAAAGGTTAGGTTCAGTTGCAACCCCACCAAACCTAACCCCAGAAACCCACTTAATGCAGGTGCTGTAACGATATAATTTTGAAATCTATGGGAAAAGCCTGCCGTATTTCACTTATTCCTCGGCATACGTTTTGTTCAAAGTTCTTCCAGTGATGCAACACAACCCTAAAAAAATACTTTCTATAAAAATCTGAACAACATGAAACTACTCCATTGCAAAACCCACTTAATATCATACACTCTTCAACTAGAAATTGTCTCCAAACTCACTGAAGCCCCTAAACTGAATACTGACCAATTTTTACTCTCTCAAAATTAAGACATGATCAAAGTCTGGTGTAAATATCTATATATGCTTGGACACATTAAAACCACTCCAATGAGTTTAATGCTTCTTATTCTTGCTATTTTCCTGGGGAATTTTATTTATAACCAATAGTCTGAATGCTTAAAGAAAAAAAAAAGGTAAAAGTTTCTTGCATCAATATGAAAGATGCAACTGGTTTATATTCCTTTCAGGGCTCTTAAAAATTTGGGTATGAAAACCCTAAGTGCTGTGAAAGAACAGATGCCTGCTTTCCCATGACAAGCAAAAACCTGAAAACCAGAGAGCAATATTTTTTTTTTTTACCCGACCCTCTACTTCCATCTATTAGAAATATGCTAGAACAAAATATACAAGGACTGGAAGATGCCTGACCTATAGCCCTCCAGATAAGCATTAAATTTTTTGGCGATGCTACTTTATGCATCAGAGTTTCTGACACCCATTAATGAAAAATAATGCCCTGGAGCCAAATACTGTTGACATAGAAGTATCCACCACTTATTGCACCAACAGGTATAAAGCACACTGAAAAATACTGTGATATCTAACATGACTTAAAAGCAGCTGCTGAAGCTGCTGTTGAACCAGACTTGACCTGTGAGGAATACACTTGCACACAGGAAGAGAACACCAACCACTATTGAGCACCAGTGTTGCAACAATTAGTATCCAGAGGCAGTGGAAACAAGATCGACTAAATCCAGGTGCTGCCATGCTTTAAATGATTACATGGGTTATTATAAGGAACAGTACAAATACACAGTGGCAGCTATTTTGGTCCATTATTACAATGTGTGTAACTTAAACTAAAAAATGAACATTTGAATGTGGAGATTTCAGTTCAAGGAATGTGTGGTTTACCTGGGACATCTGCAGAAACTTTTACTATGGTAAATTTTATAAATCAAATATACTATATAAAACTATTTTTCACAACATCATAAACAACACATTAGGCAGCACAAAATATCAAGCAAATGTACTTTCCTAAAAATACACTTTGGGAAGCAGGGTTTTGCAACTGCACAAAATAAGTCAGCACCTTATTTGTATTGAGTGAGGGTAGAATGGTACACCTGGCAACAACAGTAATCACATTGTGCACACACAGCCATATTAAATTTCTAAAGTTATTAAAGCACTCAAACCAGACAAAAATGATTTGCCTGCTTTAATACATATTATTCTCTTCAACTATTCTGGTACTAAATTTTTTCCAAAGAGCACATTTGAAGGGGAGAATGAATATCTGTATAAAAATGCCATCTGTAAAAGCATATGATATACGGTACCTTTAAATATATACGTAAAAATTACAAGTTGAATGCAATGTACCATTTTAAACTCACTTGGGAAAATACAGAAACCACTTGTACGAGAACACAAGTCCAAAGGGCTTGATCGTGGCTTGTCAAATTTCTGGGTATACCTGCACAATTGATCAGCTTACACTGAGAGGTACATGAACTGCTGTGTCTAACCCTAAACAAGAGTCATGGTTCACCAACCGCATCAGTGCCTTGGATTTCACTTGTGGCTCCTAGGCCGTCATTATCACCATTGCAGTAAAAAATCTTGTTACTTTTCCACAAAAATAAAAAAAAAATTATGCATTGTCGCTGGGTTACCGTCCATTATCAGGGGCCAAGAAGTGATGCAAGCCAATGGCGGCAACGGCACAGAAAAGAGAAAAAACAACCAAAATTGCAGCAGCCTTTTGCTGATCACTGAGATTGTGCCACTGCAGACCCGCCTCCTAGAAGGTAAAAAAAAGCAAAGGACTATTACAACACTTGTCTGCTCCACTTGGAACATATGAATACTGTTGTAAAACAAAATAAATAAGCCCTAGACTGTCACTCAACATTTTTCATTCATTTTCTCATTATAACATACCTTATAATGCAAATTAAGAAATCCACTATGCAACAGTGAGTGGATAAAAAAAAAAGTACCTACTATTCTAAATATGCACCACATAAGTAAAAAAATTCCTGCAGAAGGCAATGCATAATGTGAAAAAAAATGTGTTTTTGGTTTAAAACAGCGACTTTGAGGTGTACTTTTGTACGACCCTGAGGTGTATTTTCATGTGATTTTATTGTTGTATTCTAGATTTATTGGTCTCATAAGATAGAACAGAAGATATATTACAGAAATAGAGATGATTTTGATTGGTTTCTGGAGTGAAAGTAACTTCAAATTGACCTCAAAGTATCAGAAATGTTCGATTTATGTCGATATTCCAGAGTACACAAATTACATGGCTCGTCCAATATACGTCCAACTGGTGAGTAATGTGTCCATAAGTGCAGTGACATTATTTATACAATTTTTACAATAATGCAGTAGCCTGCATAAGAGTAAATCTTTTATTTTTTGTGCGAATAAAAATTCAAAGTGGAAAGCAAGAGTAATATAGGAGAGACCTGAGAATGTGACTAATGAACAAAGGAAATGTTGTTTTAGTGCCAGGAATGTCTAGTGTTTTATCTGGACCCTATTTTGAAATTGGCAAATTTTGAATTTTGTGTGAAATTGGCCAAATTACCAATTTCTGATAATTTTATTGGGTAGTTGAATTAGGTTAATGGGCAGTTCCTTGTACTCAATAGAAAGAATGGAAGGAATACTAGCAAAATAGCCACGAGTTTGGTAGACACGAATTGGCTGAAAATAAGACTCAAAGTGGGTGAAATCGCCGATTCATAAATATTGCCGAGACCGCTAACTTTGCAAGTGCATAATTCTGCAAGTTTTCCATCAAATTTCATACTTTAGGTTTCATTACCTTTGGAAAAAGTTTATTACATATTTTTTTTTTTTTTAAATTCTCAGACCCTAAGAGTAAGTTTCAGATCAAGGGTTCCGACCCTCAAAGGGTTAAGTCACTCACATTCAAAAAAGTAAACACTGATGATTTGTCTGCCTTTTAAGACTTGGAATGATACATTATGAATTTTAAACAAGAGTGAAATCAATACAATACAGTGGTACCTCGGGATACAAACAGCTCAAAACGCAAACAATTATGTAAGTGCTGTTGTAAGTATTTTTGGGAGTCTGAAACGGATTAATCTAATTTACACTATTCCTTATGGGAACAAATTCTTTCGGTATCAGCACTTGAACAGCCTTCTGGAACGAAATAAGTTCATATCCCAAGGTACCACTGTATATCATTTCCTCGTATTGTAACTGACCAAATGAACAAGAAAAAGGAAGAAGGGAGGAGTGGAGAGAGTGGGAGGCAGTAATTATATATGACAACTTCATACAAGCACATTTAGGAGTAAATCCCACACTACCTGGGTTGTGTTTGCTGCAGTTTTGGTAGTCATTACAGGAGCAGGCTTTGGGGTGTTGAAGAGTGCTGGAGAAGAGTAAGCACCAGCCATTGTCTCTCCGTCCCCACATACTCGCACGCCACAAACACGTACATAATATCCTGTGTGAGGTTCTAAACCAGTCAGCGCGTAAGAGGTTTCGTCTCCAGTGTATACCTGGAAATGCATACAATACTGAGACAGAATACTCTAAAGTTACACATTTTGATTTTAATAATAATGAATTATTATATCATATAGTGCTCACAGAAAAATAAAAACAGGTTCATAGTACAATACCAAAGGATGTTCACTAAAATAATGCTAATGTATTGTAACTATTTTTTATTACTATAATACACTAACTGTAATAATTGCAAAATTGCCTATCATATATATTATCAGCATAGCAAAATTACCATTAGCTCTCTCAAAGCTCCTCTATAGTGCATTTTTCATAAATGCAACTGAAAAAATGCATCAAAAATTGATTAGTACATACTGAAGTCTTCCATGTGACTTTCGTTTTTTTATTATTATTATCACACTGGCCGATTCCCACCAAGGCAGGGTGGCCTGAAAAAGAAAAACTTACACCATCATTCACTCCATCACTGTCTTGCCAGAAGGGTGCTTTACACTACAGTTTTTAAACTGCAACATTAACACCCCTCCTTCAGAGTGCAGGCACTGTACTTCCCATCTCCAGGACTCAAGTCCGGCCTGCCGGTTTCCCTGAACCCCTTCATAAATGTTACTTTGCTCACACTCCAACAGCACGTCAAGTATTAAAAACCATTTGTCTCCATTCACTATCAAACACGCTCACGCATGCCTGCTGGAAGTCCAAGCCCCTCGCACACAAAACCTCCTTTACCCCCCCTCCAACCTTTCCTAGGCCGACCCCTACCCCGCCTTCCTTCCACTACAGACTGATACACTCTTGAAGTCATTCTGTTTCGCTCCATTCTCTCTACATGTCCGAACCACCTCAACAACCCTTCCTCAGCCCTCTGGACAACAGTTTTGGTAATCCCGCACCTCCTAACTTCCAAACTACGAATTCTCTGCATTATATTCACACCACACATTGCCCTCAGACATGACATCTCCACTGCCTCCAGCCTTCTCCTCGCTGCAACATTCATCACCCATGCTTCACACCCATATAAGAGCATTGGTAAAACTATACTCTCATACATTCCCCTCTTTGCCTCCAAGGACAAAGTTCTTTGTCTCCACAGACTCCTAAGTGCATCACTCACCCTTTTCCCCTCATCAATTCTATGATTCACCTCATCTTTCATAGACCCATCCACTGACACGTCCACTCCTAAATATCTGAATACATTCACCACCTCCATACTCTCTCCTTCCAATCTGATATCCAATCTTTCATCACCTAATCTTTTTGTTATCCTCATAACCTTACTCTTTCCTGTATTCACCTTTAATTTTCTTCTTTTGCACACCCTACCAAATTCATCCACCAATCTCTGCAACTTCTCTTCAGAATCTCCCAAGAGCACAGTGTCATCAGCAAAGAGCAACTGTGACAACTCCCACTTTATGTGTGATTCTTTATCTTTTAACTCCACGCCTCTTGCCAAGACCCTCGCATTTACTTCTCTTACAACCCCATCTATAAATATATTAAACAACCACGGTGACATCACACATCCTTGTCTAAGGCCTACTTTTACTGGGAAATAATCTCCCTCTTTCCTACATACTCTAACTTGAGCCTCACTATCCTCGTAAAAACTCTTCAATGCTTTCAGTAACCTACCTCCTACACCATACACCTTCAACATCTGCCACATTGCCCCCCTATCCACCCTGTCATATGCCTTTTCCAAATCCATAAATGCCACAAAGTCCTCTTTAGCCTTATCTAAATACTGTTCACTTATATGTTTCACTGTAAACACCTGGTCCACACACCCCCTACCTTTCCTAAAGCCTCCTTGTTCATCTGCTATCCTATTCTCCGTCTTACTCTTAATTCTTTCAATAATAACTCTACCATACACTTTACCAGGTATACTCAACAGACTTTTTTTTTTTTTTTTTTTTCCAACAAGTCGGTCGTCTCCCACCAAGGCAGGGTGACCCAAAAAAGAAAGAAAATCCCCAAAAAGAAAATACTTTCATCATCATTCAACACTTTCACCACACTCGCACATTATCACTGCTTTTGCAGAGGTGCCCAGAATACAACAGTTTAGAAGCATATACGTATAAAGATACACAACATATCCCTCCAAACAGACTTATCCCCCTATAATTTTTGCACTCTCTTTTATCCCCTTTGCCTTTATACAAAGGAACTATGCATGCTCTCTGCCAATCCCTAGGTACCTTACCCTCTTCCATACATTTATTAAATAATTGCACCAACCACTCCAAAACTATATCCCCACCTGCTTTTAACATTTCTATCTTTATCCCATCAATCCCGGCTGCCTTACCCCCTTTCATTTTACCTACTGCCTCACGAACTTCCCCCACACTCACAACTGGCTCTTCCTCACTCCTACAAGATGTTATTCCTCCTTGCCCTATACACGAAATCACAGCTTCCCTATCTTCATCAACATTTAACAATTCCTCAAAATATTCCCTCCATCTTCCCAATACCTCTAACTCTCCATTTAATAACTCTCCTCTCCTATTTTTAACTGACAAATCCATTGTTCTCTAGGCTTTCTTAACTTGTTAATCTCACTCCAAAACTTTTTCTTATTTTCAACAAAATTTGTTGATAGCATCTCACCCACTCTCTCATTTGCTCTCTTTTTACATTTTCGTTTTGGATGTAGCATACTTTTTTCAACGCCATTTATGAAAAACTGCACTTTATAGAGGAACTTCATAAGAGTAATGACTATTAAAAAATTATTTGTTTTGCAGCATAAACAATTATACAAACAATTTGGAGCTACTGTATTACTATACATTTATATGCATCTCCTTATCAGTAAGTACTGTTATAGTCTGCAGTAATTTTTACATAATTAACATTGAACAGTCAATTCTAATAATGTAACAATCTTATAGTTACTAGTTTATTAGCTTTTGATTTGATGGAATGCTGTCTGTTAGAAATTTTCCAAACTATTAAACAGTATTCACAGATATGCTGTACACTCAATCCCTCTCTTATGAACAGTCACAATCCACAGAATCTTGTGGATCAGTTATAACAGTGTGTCCACAGGCACAATGTTATAATTGGGGGTTACATTAACCATCATAACAAAAATTATATAAATCACAAATTTTGCAGCCTGAAACAAAACACAAATATCACTAAATTTTATGATGACCTTCATTTCCAGTGTCACTGGCTTCCTTTTTTTTTTTTTTATACTGTGCAACCATTATTTTTTTTTTTTTTTACATAGTTTTTCCTTTGAACTATGATTTGCAAGTCATAAACTACAAAACTGTTAAAAACCATGAACTCTCTTACAAGATGCAAATCAAAGACGAGCACAAGACGAACTGACTGAGCAATGCTGCACCCATTGTTTGTGTTTCTCTTCAGAAAGGCTTTGTGAGTAAGCCCACTTTGTAAAGCCAAGGCAAACAGAGGAAGTATAAAAGTTTACACAAAAGATATTTTGCAATATAAAACATTTTAAACCAAGAACTGGTTGCATTATTATTACTGTAAAATTATTATACAATTGTTATTACTCTATTAAATTATTAAACATACCACATAGTAATCCTGATCTTTGCCAGCTTGTAGCACCTGAAGACGGTACAGTATGGAATCTTCACCTGGACAACGCACACTGCACCATTCAACAATATGATTTCCTTCTGGACTTTCTGTTATACGGGGAGCTGTTAAAAATATTTAAAATTCAATAAGAAAAAAAAAAAGCGAGAGGCTGATGAATATAATTATAAAAACACACAGTATAGTGTTGCAATCTACAAATATCAAAGATGCTATAATAAACCACAGAACAGGTTTAAACTTTACCCTTTCCAGGGCTTGTTTGCAACTGTGTTATTATGACTTCTTGACTATAATAAACAATACAATAAGCCTTGACCAAATAAAGTAAACTAGTGCTCAATCTGAAAACCAGTTTTTTCTCTCTAAACGAAGCTCAACAGTCACCACACACAATTAAAACTAATACAATACACTAACTTCCAAAACAGGGACACAGAAGTCACTTTAAAGTGACGCCAAAATATTATGAGCTTTTAATAAATATATCAAGGTAGGAGGGGTGGTGAAGACAATGCTATGACCCACTGTTCCCTGGAGCCTGTCTACTCTTCTTGATTACTACACCCTCTCACTTTTTTTTTTGCTCATCCACGAGGGCAAACTTTTATATAATGTTTCTAAATCTGTGGCTTAAGACAGTAAATACATCACATTCAAACATTAAACCCTGAGAATGCCCAGTTTAGCCCGTTAACTGTCCAAACGTAGATCTATGTTCTCTCACCCAGTGCTCTGAAGAGGGGGGAAAAAAAGAAGGGGGGGGGGGCAATTTTCTGTGTAATAAGACCAAAAAAAATTTTTTTTAGGGTCAGTACTTACCGAGATATAAGATCGCAAAGTTGGCACTGGATGCTCACCTGACGGCAACATGGAGTCCTACCGCTTGCAGAAGTGTTGTCTATATACCTTTTTTCTTATTTTATTTTTTTATTTATATAGCTTTTATGTTCTGATAATTGCAATTTGTAGTAGTTCTTGTGATTTCATAACCAATGTTTGTTTTGACACAAATATTAGGTACTGAAATAGTACTCAAATAGTCACAAACACATTGACAGGTGAACAATTTCACCTGCCTTGGTCACCTACTATAATCTAGAAATATATACAAAGTATTTATAGGTCCCAGCAATGTTTTAGACATGCTGGAGTATATATGAAACTCCTTGAAGCATGGTGTAAGACTTGAGTGTCACTCCAGTGCTAACAGTGCAGTAGTGGAGTGACATTTGATGACTGTGCACTGCCTTGGCTTTGTTTGTTTTCACTGTTACATATAAACATGTCTATCTGTATGTCTGTCTATTTGTCTGTGTCTGTCTAGCTCTGTTTATCTGTCTGCCTGTATGTCTGTCTTCCTGTCTCTGTTTCAGAGAGCCACTCATGAACTAACAGGTATTACACATAATGGAGAATCGTCACATCTCATTTCTGAACAAATGAAAATGAGTGTTACTTGCCATATCTACAAGCACTGTATAGCACTTTGTCTGGATCTTTTTGGGTTATCCTAGGTAATTCACATTATATATAATAGTAATTATTTGTGTGTATCTGTACGGTAGAGACAGACAGACATAGACAAAGATAGAGAGACAGACAGAGAGAGACAGGCAGAGATAGACACAGACAGACGGAGATAGAGACAGCCAAAATCAATCGGCCAGCCACTCAGCCTGCAAACACGTACACGTTCCAGAATTGTTTCTCTTTACTTAGGGCATAGGTTACAGGACATTCTGGCAGGATGACACTACCAGTGGTATCAAAATTGTAAGGATATTGCGCAAATGTTCACATGGGTTATTATCGAGGTTTTTGATATTTCCTCGACCACTTGTGGCCATTCTCAAAGTCACTAAACTCAGGGTCAATATCACTTTCCTCTTAAAAGGGGAGTGTTAATATGACATGACATCAGTGAATCCCTGGTGTCTGCCACACTCTTTGCTCTAGCTGATGCTCAATTGAACTGGTGCTCCCACAAGGTACTAAGTGGTCCCAGATTTTTTTTTAGACTGCGCACACCGAGTAGTAAGACCCATTCTATACTGACGAGTCATCTCAGGCCAATTGTCCCAAATTTGGAGGCAGGAAAAATAAAACGTAGATCTACGTTTGGACAGTTAAGGGGATAAAGAAAAAAAAGTACAGGAATTTTTATATGTAATGTACTACATTCTACCACATTTTATGAGTCATTATATGCTAAATATTCAAGACATTTTCCAAATGTGTCCAAGAAAACCTGTTTGCAAATTGTAAAGGTATCCTAAGGTATGGTAGCACTAACATAAAATTTCTTAGCATAATCACATTTAAAATCTTATTAATTTCAATATTACTTGTGGTCTGTTTAAATTCAATTCCCTATAGCCTCGAGATATAGTACATTCTTAAAACATTAAAACTGACATTCCTGAATATAAGACTTAATAAACATATGAAATTTTGTTACTGATAAAAAGCATAACTAAACCACAGTAAATAGTTTAACATCATTTTGTTTTCAATTCAGTATTTGGATATTGAACTGAAAAGTTCTTGAAAGAAAATGGAAAAATGTTCAACTAGTAATGTGTACAATATCTCTAGCATGCACATCTTTCACTTTTCTTAGTTTTGAGTTGAACTAAGTAGGTACTATTACATATCGATTGTGACATCGGATGAATCAGTTACATACACAGGTTAATGTTCTTCGAATTTTCCACCAAATCTGAAACACAAAAGTAGAGTTTACACACTGAATTAACCCTTTGACTGTCGCAACCCCAAATCCCGAGTTGTTTCCTGGTGTCGAAAAAAATTATTTTTTCTTATGAAATGATAGAGAATCTTTCCCCAATGGTAATGACACCAAAGAATGAAATTTGATGGAAAACTTATGGAATTACGCCCTCACAAAGTTAGTGACCTCGGCAATATTTACAAATCGGCAATTTCAACCACTTTAGCCCTAGTTTCGGCTAATTCCATTGTTCCAGTCGACCAAACTCATAGCTATTTCTTTAGAACACAATTTGTTCTATCGATTGAGTACAAGAAACTGCCCATTTACCAATTTCAACTACTCAATAGCATGGTCAGAAATTTGCAATTTGCCCAATTTCATGCAAATTAAAAAATATGCCAATTTCAAAATAGGGTCCAGAATGAACAATGCAGACATTCCTGGCCCTAAAATAACATTTTCTTTGTTCATCAGTTACGTCTCCAGATCCCTCTGATATTACTCTTGGTTTCTATTTTGAATTTTTATTCAAACAAAAAATAGATGATTTACTGTTATGCAGACTACTGCAATATTGTAATAATTGTATAAATAATGTCAACCCATTCATGACTGCATATTAGAATGGCTAGTTGAACATTTATTTGACAATGACATCATTTGTTTACTTTTGAACATCAGCAAAAATCAAACATTTCCCCTATTTTGAGCTCCATTTCAAGGTTCTTTTCATAGTAAAACCAATCAAAATCACCTCTATTTCTATAATATGTTTTCCATCCTATCAAATGAGACCAAGAAAACGAAAATACAACCATAAATACTATACGAAAATACACCACAAAGTCGGCATTTTAATCCAAAAACATGGTTGTAATTTTTTTTTTTCTCATTATGCATTGCATGCTGCAGGATTTTTTTTATATGGTGTACACTGACCACACAGACCCATTCTCTCACATGTGGGCCTACCAGCTTTCTCCTGCTCGAGTTGAAGCTGCTAGAATTTTTGAGTATATATACATCAAACACGGTGGCTCGTAAGACGTATATATATGACCGAAACAGTCAAAGAGTTAACATTTAGCTGGCTTGTATTTGCAAGCACTTTTAAAGGTAAAGCAAATTTTACGGTTAGTAGCATATACTGAAGTTACTGATGTTTACCAGATGATTTGTGTTAAAACAATTGTAACAACAGTGCCAGTAATAAAATGTCTGGTTATTACCTTTAAGGGGAGGAGGAGGAGCTTTAGTAGTAGAAAGATGAGCCACAGCAGAATAAGGCCCAATACCTGCCTCATTGCTGGCACAGATACGAAGATGGTACTCTGTGTTCTCTTCTAACCTCACCACCTTATAGTTCTGATTTGTACCATTATACACCTGATAGAACCTGTTAAAGATGGATGTCCGTTTACATGAGAAATCACTGGATATCATACAAATTTACTAATATTTTTCCCAAACTTCCACAACAGCAAATAACTATTCAATGGTAGGAAATCTCGAACATCCTCATATTTAACCAAACTAGACATGGCTGCTGTATTAGAGAGGTCAAGGGAGATATCCCCAGACCCCAGTATATTAACCTAGTACATTTAGCACAATAATAATATTCATGAAACAAAAAAGGCTTTTCTCGTCTCATTACCCCTTTTCTTCTCCTGCCCTCATACCTGCATCACAAGTGTGTTACTGAATACAGTATTCTTATAGAGTTGGGCATTTGTAGTAGCATATCCTCAAGGTTAATACCAAGTCTCTTTCTTGGGAACTTTTAGGTATCTTGTTAGCCTACTCTGCATCCTTCCTGCAACTGTTGCTTGTCATTAATAAAGAAGTGTAGAAAGTGCAATACTAAAATTTTTACAATATTTAAGCAAACGCTCACACACTTTAAATGCCAATTAAACTAGCTCGATATGGCACATTGTCAGACTTGCCTAACTGGTTACTGCATGCAGGGCAACCCCATGACTGATTATTGCTCATGGTAGTGAAAAAATGGAGAGATTTTAGATGTTTAAGGGTGGTGCATGTATGATTGATGCTAGCCATTTTTTTGGTACAAAAGATTCCACTATTCATACAATTTGAAACAATGTGAAGAAAACAGTTGTGTAGCAAGTAGTGCAGAGTGTGACATGGTGAAAAAAATATCAAAGCTATCGGTACAACTAAATAAGAAAGATAAGTTACTCTGTTCTCCATGGGGAAGTGGAACAGAATTCTTCCTCCGTAAGCCATGCGTGTTGTAAGAGGTGACTAAAATGCCGGGAGCAAGGGGCTAGTAACCCCTTCTCCCGTATAAATTACTAAATTTAAGAGAAACTTTCATTTTTCTTTTTGGGCCACCATGCCTTGGTGGGATACGGCCGGTGTGTTGAAAGAAAGAAATAAAGAAGTTACTCTGTGTGGATTAAGGAGAGAAAAAATGGAAAGGAGCTCCCCCACAGTGCTCAGATGATAAGGCACAAAGTCCTAGCCCTTTCCTACTATAAAGCTGTACGAGACGAGAAGAAGAGTTTTCACAACAGATTATGTTTAGTACTACATGGTTTAAAGTTTCACAAACCCCTGTCAGCCTCATTACACAGGACTTAAATTTTGGAATTGTGTTAGCTGATTACAATGCCACAGGAAATTTCCCTGCACTGTAGTACATCCATTAACTCCTGACAACTCTGCATACATCAACATAACCACAGCCATCCACTTCAGCCCAGTAGGGCAATATCAAACCTCTCTGCACACTACCAAGGTAATAAACATTAACTAGACTTGATTGTATGATATACTTCACAACTGTTCACTCCTCATGATATTTCAAAGAACACTGTTTGGCAACTTTTGATGAGCCCAGAACATAACCACATCTTTCCCATCTGTTCTTCACTTTACATAATACCTTGTCACAAAAGTCAACAATTTCCAGGAACACATAGCCCACATTATGAAAGGGTTCATTGTATGTACATGCAATTACAAGGAGAGCAAACTGCAGAAATATGGTCCAAGTAATTATTAAGTGTAATCTAACAAAGTTTAGTTTTAATAGTATAGAAAGTGTACCACCATGATGCTGATGGCAACAGGACTTTTAACTACAAGAACATAAATAATGTTCTTTAACAAGAAATGTATTACTTATATATCTCTTTCAGTATGTTAGGTAAGACTGAAGCAGGTATGTGGCCTACCTAACCTAAACCTTAAACTATTATAAACAATGTGGTCTTTGTAGTAATATTACTGTTTACATGCCACTTACATTGTCCCATATCTATACCTGTGATTTATTTTTATGAAGAGAAACGATTGCATTTTATTTTTTTTTTTTTCAACAAGTCGGCCGTCTCCCACCAAGGCAGGGTGACCCAAAAAGAAAATACCTTTATCATCATTCAACACTTTCACCTCACTCACACATAAACACTGTTTTTGCAGAGGTGCTCAGAACACAACAGTTTAGAAGCATATACATATAAAGATACACAACATATCCCTCCAAACTGTGACTCCTCCACTTCACCCTATATATAAGCAAGGGAATTACTTATCATGAGTATAAGTTTAATTTCAAGTAGTTGAACATGAACAATGTGAACATGAGGCTAGGTTGCAAGCAGCAGTGATATATGTAATCACTTACTCTCTGGTGCCATTATGAGGATTGGTGAATTCCATCTGAAGAGAGTAAGTAAGCATGTCCAAATTGCGTCCATCTCCCCATTTGAGCTTGAGAGAATTGTAGGAAGCTTTAACCAGCTCTATGGTTGGGGGGGCAGGAGGAAGTGCCCTTGTTGTCACTTTGTGAATACCACTGAAGCTTCCCGGGCCCACACTGTTCACGGCTTGGATTCGTAATCTAAAAAAATTAAAAAAACTTGAGAACTTACTTTCACAAATTATTATAATGAAACATTATCTAAACCTTGTGTATCACACTATTAGAGCAAGACAGCACAACAGCTTATTTTAAAGCTGATAAGCTTGACATCAAGTACACAAAACATCTGTGCACCAACTGGCTTGGTCAACTGGCAAACACACACACACACACACACACACACACACACACACACACATACAGTACTGTAAGTTATCTCAACAACCTCTCCCAATAGGTTCCCAGCAATCTTTTAGTATTTCACTTACACACATACCTCACACTGATGATTTTTTTTTATAACTGGCTCATTGCAACGTACCATTTCATTAATAGTTGTTCATCCTAGTCGCACCCCTCTCAAACAGCATCTCTTGTTCATGCTTTCAATGCACCAAGAGAACTTTTAAAATAATTTTAAGTAATGATCAGTTTAGCTCTCTAGGCCTATCTTCACAGTTGAGATGCTCCAGTTCAAGAACTGACCTAGTATAAGACTTCTCAATTACATTTTGTTTTTCTAACTACATTCAATAGAATTTTAATCTATTGTATGATTTATTTTTATTACATACTGTAAGCAGTTGGTTTAGATTTTATTTATGCCTACCTTCCACTTGCACACCTCAGTCATATTTCCCCTTGCATCTTTCATGAATAATTCAGTAATTATCTTCAAAGAAAAAATTGCACATAAATGGGGTTTTGTTATTTTTCTCTAATCCTAATCCTAAAGCATTTGTGTATTATCTATAATACTGTATAGAGAAAAGAACTGCATAACAATGTAAAAAAACTATAACAAAGGGAGAAAACAGTGGAACTACAAAAGAAGATCTAAGGCAAAGTGCTCCATGTCAAGGTGCAGGGAATCCAGCTTTTCCTATAAAATGGATAAATTTAAAAAATATATAGTAATCAATTATTTATCTAAGGGAAAAATAACAGCAATAAAATAATCATACATAACCATTATTAACTTCAAGAAAATTTTTCAAGCCTGTTAAAATAATAGGATTTAGACCTTAGATATATACCCAATTTAACACCCTGTATATTAATCAAGTTATGTATTACATACGTAGGCTGAATCAATGAAGCTTTGACAAGACAATTAAAAAGATGAATAAGTATAATACCGTGACTGGAACAATACACAAATAAGCAGCACATAGGAGAGAGAAGCTTATGAAGACTTTTTGGTCAGCCTTAGGTCATAAGCTTCTCTCTCCTACATGCAGGTTGTGTAAAAAGAAAAAAATCTTATTACCTATATAAAGTTTCAGGTTGAAGATCGTTTAGTGCATATTCCGTTTCTGGCCCCGGAGTAGTGACTGTCTTATCACCCACTTCTATCACATAATGGGTGATGGGGTCACCATGATTAGCTGGCTCTCCCCAAAGGAGGGTCACAGCTGTGGCAGCTGGGGAGGAGGAGATGTAAGCAACAGGTGCAGGGGGTGCAGCAGGGGTGGTCACAGTTGCATGTGAAGACCAGGGACCAACTCCAGCACTGTTGCTGCAACATACTCTGTAGGATACAAGCATACATACACATACATCAGAATGCTTTGAAAGTTTATGTACAATACTGTATACACTCAAAATTATCATCCTATTAATAAATTATATCTTATGATATACACAAATAAGAACTAAATAATAATCAAACAATAGTAAATACAGTAAATTAGGAAATCACCAAATAAACTGAAACTTAAAATAAGTTGCACATTCAATAAAATGCTAGTCTTTCACAAGTCAAATAGCCATCCCACATAAGCCATGAGTGTCATAGGTGACTAAAAAAGCTTGGAACAAAGGCTACTAACCCCTGACTCCCCTTTCCCTGCACATGTTTAATAACTACACAAGACAGGAGGAACCGGGCGAGTTGTTCAGTGGTTGAATACAACAATAGTTGCACATTAACAAAGTATTTTGACTATATAGGTCACTCACCACTCACAGGCATACAAAATGCAAACACAAAAACAGAAATAAAGTCAACAAGAAAAGTAACAAATGCTCAATGCAAATAAATACATAACTATTATACCAAGTTAAAGTGGCCAGTACAGGAGGGCCCAGTTCATATGGCTCCAAGGTTTGCAACCCCCGGACGATAAGCGAAAATTGCCGGCGGGTAGAAAAAGAGCCCCCCCCCCCCCTTTTTCTTTTTTACTGAATGCATCTAAAATGCTGGTAACATGAATGTTGGTCAGAGGGGTGGGATTAAATTATGGGGAATCAAATACAAAATGGGAGTTGATAGTTACTTTTTGTTGATGATACTGTGCTTTTGGGGGATTCTAAAGAAAAGTTGCAAAGGTTAGTGGATGAGTTTGAGAGGGTGTGTAAATGTAGAAAGGTGAAAGTGAACAAAGATGAGAGTAAGGTAATGAGGGTATCAAACTATTTAGATAAAGAAAAATTGGATATCACATTGGAGAGAGGGAATATGGAAGTAGTGAATGTTGTCAGTGGATGGGTTTATGAAGGATGAGGTTAACCATAGAACTGATGAAGGAAAAAATGTGAGTGGTGTGTTGAGGTATCTGTGGAGACAAAAAACATTATCCATGGAGGTAAAGAAGGGAATGTATGAAAGTATAGTGGTACCAATACTCCTATATGGGTGTGATGCATGGACTGTAAATGCTGCAGCGAGGAGGCGGCTGTAGGCAGTGGAGATGTCCTCCTGTCTAAGGGCAATGTGTGGTGTAATTATTATGCAGAGAATTTGTGGTATGGAAATTAGGAGGTGGTGTAGAGTTACTAAAACTATTAGTCAGAGGGCTGAAGAGGGGTTGTTGAGATAGTTTGGTCATTTAGAAAGAATGGAACAAAGTAGAATTACATGGAGTGTGTGTAAATCTGTAGGGAAAGGAAGGCAGGGTACGGGTCGACCCTGAAAAGGCTGGAGGGAGGGGGTAAAGGAGGTTTTTGTGGGCGAGGGGCTTGGACTTCCATTAAGCATACATGAGCATGTTAGATAGGAGTGAATGGAGATGAATGGTTTTTGGGACTTGACAAGTTGTTGGAGTATGAGCAGGGTAATATTTTGTGAAGGGATTCAGGCAAACCGGTTACCCAGACTTGAGTCCTGGAAATGGGAAGTACAATGCCTGAACTTTTTAGGAGGGATTTGGAATATTGGCTGTTTGGAGGGACATCTGAACTGTCATACCTGAGCACCTCTGCAAAGACAGTGATTATGTATGAGTGAGGTGAAAGTGTTGAATGATGAAAGTATTTTGTTTTGGGGGATTTTCTTTCTTTTTGGGTCACCCTGCCTTGGTGGGAGACGACCGATTTGTTGAGAAAAAAAAAATTCTATTTCTAAAAGTACATTTACAAAATATGTATACAGGCCTAGCTGACAACAATGACATACTACTATATAGAAAGCCCCTTGTTATGCAGAACATTTCAAGCAAATTAGGTCAGTTTTGTCTCAGGATGCAACCAACACCAGTCGACTAACACTCAGATACCCATTTTACTGACAGGGAACATAGACGACTGGGGTAAAGAAACATGCCCAATGTTTCTATCCTCACCGAGAACTGAACCTGTATCGTACAGCATATCGCTACCCTGGGAACAGATCAAAATTCAAAGTTTGATGACTAGTGAATGCACATTGCTATCACAACATCGTAATGACAAAATATCATAAGTCGAACCACTGGAAAACGAGGAGCATCTGTAACTGATCTTTCCTATTAAATGTGGAAAAAATCACAAACACTTAAGAATACAAAATTACTATTAAAAGCATTTTTTTTTTATTTGCAAGATAGCTCACCTGAAGGCATAGGTGGTAGCAGGAGCCAGGTTGCGTACTTCAGTGGTGAGGGCTGACCCTGTGTACGCACTGGTGAATGTCAAGTCAGATTCTAGGTCACCACATGTTGAAGAAGACTCTGAAGACTCTGCATGAGGACAGGATACCTTGGAAAGAAAAATATTCAGTAGTAGGTTGGTAGACAGCAACCACCCAGGGAGGTACTACCGTCCTGCCAAGCGAGTGTAAAACGAAAGCCTGTAATTGTTTTACATGATGGTAGGATTGCTGGTGTCTTTTGTCTGTCTCATAAATATGCAAGATTACAGGCATGTCTTGCTACTTCTACTTACACTTAGGTCACACTACACATACATGTACACGTTTATTTATACACATTCATCTGAGTTTTCTTTGATTTTATCTTAATAGTTCTTGGTCTTATTACTTTTCCTTTTATATCCATGGGGAAGTGGAATAAGAATCTTTCCTCCGTAAGCCATGCGTGTTGTAAAAGTCAACTAAAATGCCGGGAACAATGGGCTAGTAACCCCTTTTCCTGTAAAGATTACTAAAAAGAATAAGAAGAAAATTGTCAAAGTGGGAAGTCTGAATGTGCATGGATGTTGTGCAAATGATAAGAAAGAGATGATTGTGGATGTTATGAATGAGAAGAAACTGGATGTCCTGGCTATGGACTTCCAGCAAGCATGCATGAGCGTGTTAGATAGGAGTGAATGGAGACGAATGATACTTGGGACCTGACGATCTGTTGGAGTGTGAGCAGGGTAATATTTAGTGAAGAGATTCAGGGAAACCGGTTATTTTCATATAGTCGGACTTGAATCCTGGAAATGGGAAGTACAATGCCTGCACTTTAAAGGAGGGGTTTGGGATATTGGCAGTTTGGAGGGATATGTTGTGTATCTTTATACGTATATGCTTCTAAACTGTTGTATTCTGAGCACCTCTGCAAAAGCAGTGATAATGTGTGAGTGTGGTGAAAGTGTTGAATGATGATGAAAGTATTTTCTTTTTGGGGATTTTCTTTCTTTTTTTGGGTCACCCTGCCTCGGTGGGAGACGGCCGACTTGTTGGAAAAAAAAAAAAAAAAATTAATACTGCATTAATAACACTCAAAACCTGCTGACATGACTTCAAAACTTCCAAGTTAATGTTTCTTTCATACTACCACAGTTGAAATACTACACTCAACATGAGCACCTCCCTCCAATCAGTCAATGATGCTGCATGGTGCTGTAAACACACACTACTTTATTGCACACTTCCAAGGAACTCCAACTTTTAACAATGATATACCTACCTAGGATAGTATTTCTACCTTAGTTCTGCATATTTATGCTTGATAAGGAACACAATAAAGTGTATATACAAGAGAAAGACACACAGGTTGGTTGTAACGTGTGACAAGTGTAGTAGAGTAAAAACGTGCACCATTTTATCCGTTATTTACCAATACAGTAATTTAAACTTATATCAGCAATAGGCTTACTCAAGATCCTAAATTTTACATCTGTTTAATGCTGAAAAAGTAACAGAATAAAATAAAAAGTGGTGATGTAGCACCCTCATATTTACTTATAAATAATGAAGTTGATGAGGCTATTTGTTTTGTAAATATCCATTCCGAATATATGGGCGTGTGAGCAATTGAGACAGCAGGTTAGGAAGGGAAAAACATGCAATATAAAATTTCTGAAATGATACCCAAAGTTTTTTTTTTTTCAACTTACTGGTCGTCTCCCACCAAGGAAGGGTGACCCAAAAAGATAGACTAAAGTTTTTCAGATGTTGCAAGTGTATGGTGTAGGAGGTAGGTTACTGAAAGCAGTGAAGAGTTTTTACGAGGATAGTGAGGCTCAAGTTAGAGTATGTAGGAAAGAGGGAAATTTTTTCCCAGTAAAAGTAGGCCTTAGACAAGGATGTGTGATGTCACCGTGGTTGTTTAATATATTTATAGATGGGGTTGTAAGAGAAGTAAATGCGAGGGTTTTGGCAAGAGGCGTGGAGTTAAAAGATAAAGAATCACACACAAAGTGGGAGTTGTCACAGCTGCTCTTTGCTGATGACACTGTGCTCTTGGGAGATTCTGAAGAGAAGTTGCAGAGATTGGTGGATGAATTTGGTAGGGTGTGCAAAAGAAGAAAATTAAAGGTGAATACAGGAAAGATTAAGGTTATGAGGATAACAAAAAGATTAGGTGATGAAAGATTGAATATCAGATTGGAGGGAGAGAGTATGGAGGAGGTGAACGTATTCAGATATTTGGGAGTGGACGTGTCAGCGGATGGGTCTATGAAAGATGAGGTGAATCATAGAATTGATGAGGGAAAAAAAAGTGAGTGGTGCACTTAGGAGTCTGTGGAGACAAAGAACTTTGTCCTTGGAGGCAAAGAGGGGAATGTATGAGAGTATAGTTTTACCAACGCTCTTATATGGGTGTGAAGCGTGGGTGATGAATGTTGCAGCGAGGAGAAGGCTGGAGGCAGTGGAGATATCATGTCTGAGGGCAAGTGTGGTGTGAATATAAGCAAGAATTCGTATTTTTAAGTTAGGAGGAGGTGCGGGATTACCAAAACTGTTTGTCCGAGGGCGAGGAAGGGTTTTTGAGGTGGTTGGACTGTAGAAGAATGGGCGAAACAGAATGACTTTAAAAGGGGTATCATTTTGTGTGGAAGGAAGGCGGGTAGGGGTCGGCCAGGAAGGGGTTTGGGGGGAGGGGGTAAAGGAGGGTTTTTTGTGCGAGGGGCTTGGACTTCCAGCGGGATGCTGAGCTGTTTGATAGGGGGTGAAAAGGGGACAAATGGTTTTTTTAAAATTGAGTGCTGTTGGGGTGTGAGCAAAGTAACATTTATGAAAGGGGTTCAGGGAAACCGGGAGGCCGGACTTGAGTCCTGGGATGGGAAGTACAGTGCCTGCACTCCCGAAGGAGGGGGTTAATGTTGCATTTAAAAAAAAAGTAGTGTAAAGACCCTTTTGGCAAGACAGGGTGGAGTGAATGATGGTGAAAGTTTTTTTTTTCGGGGACCCTGCCTTGGTGGGAATCGGCCGGGGTGATAAAAAAAAAAAAAAAAAAATTACAAATATACAAAAATAAAATGGGAAAACTTTTTAACATCAATAGGGGAAAAAAAAGAGATCAGTTATAAAGTAAGAAAGTAATGCTGTAAGTATACTAGAAAGATGTTATTCACCGAGTGGTAGAACAATGGAATGGACTACAAGAGGAAATAGCAAATGCAAACCATACCACAGGCGGGGATAAAACCCGCGATCAGAAAGTCATAAATTTAACCTGAAGAGAGGGAGTGTAACTCCAATTCTTTGAATCAAGAGCCCTCACCAGGCAACAAGACCTACCTCCCATAACCCTGAAGGATTCATTGGTTATAACTATTGATGTACACTAACTTGTATGCAATATACACCCTGTGGTTCATCTGTGACTGGTTTGACAAGTTTATTCTCAACTTGGCTGAAGCCAAACTATTATGATATTTCTTAGCAGATTATCAAGTCAGAAAGCATACAGGTCTCCCTCAACTTATGTTAGGAATTGTGGTGGTGGCAGAGTTTGTTTGGAGATAGGACAAGATATAGTCCTTCAATATGACACTAATATCGACTCTATGGCTTATTTATCTATCACAATTCATCCGATATGACATAATAAACAATATTAATAACATAGAAACACAACATATACTCTAGAGTGAATAAAATACGTCATTAAGTATGTCACGAGTGTTGTTGTGGTGGTGCTGAGACATAAGCCTTGCATAGTGGTGGTGGAGGCGGTAGAGACTAGAGACCGCGGTGTTGTCAGTCACCCTATATAACTCCAACAACATTGGAGGAGTTAGGTTTGTGCTGTCCTTTTTCTATCGATTAATCGCTTAACTTACTTGCTACACTGCTAATGTTACACTTTATCGCTGGCTGGCGCTATAGCCTTAATCGACTTGTGCTGCTTTAGTATTGTACATATCGTATAATCACTAAATCACTGATGAAGGCATTCTCTCTTCCTCCTCCACTTTGGTACTCTGCTACAAGTTCTTTCTTGAATTCTATAGTTTTTCTCACCTTCTTTACCAAAGGGCTGGCACTAGTACAATATTTTACGACATTTTCATGTGTTTTATGATTGTTCATGGTTCAACAGGTTAGGGAAGCAGTATTGTATTATATTTCCCTACAAGACATTGGGGCACCAAACATTCGCGATTTTTCAACATTTACAAGGTTCTTGATCCCCTAACCCTCATGAATGTTGAGGGAGACCTGTATATGTATTCATCTTCCTCTTTAAAAATGCTTGGCTATTGTCAAATATGCAAGTTAGAAAGTACAAAATGGTTTGGTTAAGTGTTAAGGCATAGTCTTTAGCAATGTGGAAAGTAATGCAATACTGCATTATCTGCATCTTATGTCTGAGCAGGTAAAATAACATAAAAGGAACCAGTATTTGATACTAGCAACATAAAAATTACTGTGAAGTAGGGCCAGAGATAAACACAAACACACATCTTATTATATCACTGATGATGGCTTGTAGCTGGGATCAGCAAGAACAGGTAGAGTTGAGAAACTGTCGATACAAGTGTAGACAAGCTTCTTCAGTGTTTGTAGATGAATGGTTCAGAGAACCGACATGTTGATAAATTAGACACATGTGCAACTCTTGGGTATCTTTATTGAGGAAACGTTTTGCCACACAGTGGCTTCATCAGTCCATACGTAGGAGAAACTTGAAGAACAGGAGGAGAATGAGGTAATCAGTCCCTCAACCTTGAGTCGGTGTGTTCAGTCCATCAATTTTGAATAGAATACGGCATATGAGCGGAGAAGTAGCTTATAAACCGTATGGCAGGAGAGGTGCAGCAGTCATAGGTGGTGTCACATCTGTTCAATGTGGAAGTAGGTTGTGCCCAAGAATTAGGCAAGCGAAGAATTCCTAAGTATTAAGATACCAAGAAGTTGCAGTGTCTGACAGGTTTGTAGATTGATGGACTGAACACATCGACTCAAGGTTGAGGGACTGATTACCTCATTCTCCTCCTGTTCTTCAAGTTTCTCCTACGTATGGACTGATGAAGCCACTGTGTGGCGAAACGTTTCCTCAATAAAGATACCCAAGAGTTGTACATGTGTCTAATTCTTCAGTGTTAATGTGAAGGATAAAATTTCTGTATCAAACTCAAATACAAAGTTTGCTTCAAGTTGTTCCTTACCTCTGCAATCTGCACATTATACTGGTCAATACCAGCTCCATTGTTTATAGGTTCTTCCCACGCTAGATGCACTGAATATGGGCTACGACAGGCTAGATGAGGAGCATGAGGGGCATCAGGGGGACCAGCACCACTAACCACTTCCAAAGGTTCAGACCACTGTCCAGGGCCCATGCGGTTCACACCACACACCATGAAGATGTATGGTCGCCCAGGTAAGAGGCTGTTGAAGAGTGCAGATGTTTATCAGCAATGTGAAACCTATTATATACAATTAAGAAATTATCATCAAGAAATGTATCAATGTACAAGATTTTTCAGTTCATGCAGAAATTCCCATTATTTAGGCTGTCCAGGTCATCCCATGTTAATCATGCAAATCAGATGAAGTAAAATCACAGAAGAGGGGAGTTAGTACTAGAGGATTTAAAAAACACTTGCTGCATCACTTGCACACGAGCATCCTAAAAAACAAAAATTAAAACACCACCCGTGTAACACCTGGAGAATTTTGCATCTACAATGACATTAATAATCAAAAGTTAGTGTTTTATCAGGTCATGCAAATTATTTTATTATACCCATTTAATGAATAATTTTATTTTTTCTTGAAATTTTGAGGTCAAACTTAAGGTTGTATTGTAAAGGTTCATGTGGTAATCACAAAAATTATTTTCCACTATGGTTAGGGGATAAAATGATTAATTACAGGGAATAACTTCTATGTTAATGCTAGATTTACATGGCTTATATTTAGGTCCAGATACTAGAAGATCAACCAAAATTATTTTTTTTGGTACCTTCCACTCTCCTCCTCCTCAAGGTGATGTGACTGTTTAGTTTTCTTGATGGAACATGAACGCTGGTATCAAACAAACAAGGCTGATACCGGGTCATGAAGGTTAACAGTGAAACAGCACTGAATGTCTATAAATTAGCAGTGTGTGTTAAAATAACTATGGTGTTGTGACTGGTTGAGTGAGGTAGTCTGAGGTCTAGCAGGCTGAATGCTCTTAGAGATGCAATTTACCATGTGATGCTTCACCTAATGAAACCAAGCCCTAAAAAGAAGAGCAACAGAGATTTCGAAGAATTTTTGACTGGAGATAAGGAGACCAATTCTAGCTCAAGATTCAGAGCTGGATAAATAAGTCTTACTCCCTGCTGACAAATGTGAGATGAGAAAGTGAAATGGAGAAGTTTGGCGAGGCTCGAAGTTGTTTTTTCAGGGTGGAGGAACTATCAGTTTAATTTGGAACCACTGCACTGCCTAGTATAGTACACTGCTAATGTTTGTAAGGAAGTTGTCTCATGTCATAACAGTCACCTATTAACATTCATGATGTGCCATAATTTTTTTCATAAATGTGATTGTCTCAGAGTCGGCTCTACCATTAGGCAAACTTAGATGGCTACCTAGAGTAAAGAAGTTTATGCTTGCCTGGTTCTCCATATTCTTCCCCTTTTCTACTTTTGTCTTCCCTCCTCACCCACCTTAATCCTTTCAGGGTCCACAGGACCTCTCAGAGACTTGTTCTCAGGGTCCCCCAAATTTAAAAAAAAAAAAAAAAAAAAAAAAAAAAAAAAAAAAAATCTTATGAAAAGATAGAGAATCTTTTCCCGATCATAATGACACCATAAGTATGAAATTTCATGGAAAACTTACGAAATTATGCTCTTGCAAAGTTAGCGGTCTTGAAGATGTTTACGCATCGGCGATTTTGCCACTTTGAGCCCTATTTTCAGCCAATTCCCATGTACTAGTTGACAAAAATCATAACTATTTCGCTAGAACTCCATTTTTTCTATCAAATGAGTACAAGAAACCACCAATTTACTGATTTCAACTATCCAATACAGTGGTCAGAATCTAGCAATTTTGCCAATTTCACACAAATTTCAAAAGATGCCAATTTCCAAATAGGGTCCAGAATAAACAAGAAAGACATTCCTGGCCCTAAAATAACATTTCCTCTGTTCATTAGTCACATCCCCAGGCCCCTCTTACATTTTTTTTGCTTTCTACTTTGAATTTTTATTCTCACAAAAAAAAAATAAGATTTACTGTTATGCAGATTACTGCATTAGTGTAGAAATGGTATAAATAATATCGGCGCACTGTGAAAGAATATTAGACTCGCCAGTTGACGTGTATTAGACGCTTAGCATGATTTATTTACTTTTGAACTTTGGTAAAAATCGAACATTTCTGCTACTTTGAGCTCAATTTCAAGGTACAGTGGAGCCTCAAAAATCGAACGTATCACATATCAAACGTTTCGAAAATAAGACCATTTTTTCGGACAAACTGTGTCCCTATTATTGAATGCACCCCTATTTTCAGACCGCCGGGTACGGGACCTGTCCGCTGGCCCGCTCTGTCCGCGTCCCCGCGCAGGCACCGTGAGCAGTCTAGCTTTGTTTATGCTTGAGTGAACACTAACCTGCGATCTCATTCATGCATTTTACGATTATTTAATTGTGTTTAGTGCTTGTGCGGCTGTGAAATAAGCTGCCATGGGCCCAAAGAAACTTGCTAACTGTACCCCTGTGGTAAAGCAAGTGAGAAACACCATAGATGTGAAGAAGGAAATAATACAGAGGTATGAGATTGAAGTGAGACTTGTTGAGCTTGCCAGGATGTACAGAGGACTGTGGACAGTTATTTTGTGAGACAAACAGATGACTGTGGATAGTTATTTTGTGAGACAAACAGAGGACTGTAGACAGTTATTTTGTGAGACTGGGGTCCAATGACTCTCAAGCAGGTCCTAGTGGCATTAAAATAAAGAGAAGGGAAGCAACCCCAGAGAGGGCTTTAATACCGGAAGTCCTCATGGAGGGGGATTCTCCTTCCAAACAATAACCCCAACTCCCTCTCTCCTCCTCCCTATCTTCCAGATGCCATTACCAATCTTCAATAAAGGTAAGTAAAAATGTTATTTTATATTACTATACATAATTAAAGACTAACATTTGTTGTGTGTATGTAAAACTGTAATTAATCTCTATAAAATGTATTTTTTTTGTGAATATTTTTGGGTTTCTGGAACGGATTAATTGTATTTCCATTATTTCTTATGGGAAATATTGTTTCGAATTTCAGACTTTTCGAATTTGGAACTAGCTCCTGGAACGGATTAAGTTCGAAATTTGAGGTTCCACTGTACTTTTCATTGTAAAACCAGTCAAAATCATCTCAATTTCTGTAATATGTCTTCCATTCTATACAATGAGACCAGGAAAACTAGAATACAACAATAAATACCATACGAAAATACAGTGTAAAGTCTCTGTTTTAATCCAAAAACATGGTCAAAGATTTTTTTTCTCTTAACGCACTGTGCTGCAGGATTTTTTTTATACTGCGCACACTGACCACATAGACCCATTCTTTCATATGTAGGCCTACCAGCTTTCTCTCACTAGATTTGAAGGCGCTAGAATTTATGCGTACTAGTACATCACGGACACTGGTGCGTAAGCCATACTAGTACGTCCGAAACCCTGAAAGGGTTAATTCTCTCTCATGCATATGCTTCTCAATGACACACACACACACAAAGTACTCACTAATTTATTAGCTACTATGTCCAAAATTTTTTTTTACCCCATCAAAAACTGCAGAAGTAGGATGAATCCCACATACGTACTAGAACAAACCAAAAATAATGAACTTTCTGAAGACAATATATGTAAGCTGAAAATGTGTATAATTCTCATGGTACAAAAAATACATCCATGTATGTGCATGTACAGTGTTGGTAGGGCACAATCTCTACCTCCTGCACCTTGCCCCTTAACCCTTTCAGGGTCCAAGGCCCAAATCTGGAGTCATGCACCAGTGTCCAAGAATTTAAAAAAAAAAAATGTTATTTTTTCTTATGAAATCGTAGAGAATCTTTTTGTGAAGGTAATAAAACAAAAAGTACGAAATTTGGTGGAAAATTGACGAAATTATGCTCTCGCGAATTTTGATGTGTCAGCGATGTTTACGAATCGGCGATTTTGCCGACTTTGACTCCCATTTTAGGCCAATTACATTACTCCAATCTACCAAATTCTTAGCTATTTCACTAGTATTACTTCTATTCTATCGATTGAGCACAAGAAATCGCCAAGTCAACTGTTTCAACTACAAAATAAAGTGATTGGAAATTGTTAATTTGGCCAATTTAACACAAAGTTCAAAATATTCCAATTTCAAAATAGGGTCCAGAATAAACAATGTAGGCATTCCTGGCACTAAACTAACATTTCCTCTGTTCATTAGTTATGTTTTGAGGCTTTACAAATAAATTCCATTTTGATTTTTTATTCACATAATGAATTTTTATTCACACCAAAAAATAGAAGATTTACCGTTATGCAATACTGTAATAATTGTATAAATATCATCACCATATTTGTGAATGTATATTAGACCCACCAGCTGGCGTGTATTAGATGTGTGAGGTCGTTTGTTTACTCTTGAATATTGGCAAAAATTTAACATTTCCGCTACTTTGAGCTCAGTTTCAAGCCATTTCCAGAGGTAAAACCAATGAAAATCATCTCTATTTTTGTAATATGTCTTCCATTCTATCAAATGAGACCAAGAAATCGCAAATACAACTATAAAAAACATACGAAAAAACACTGCAAAGTTGCTGTTTTAATCGAAAAATCATGATTTCAGTTTTTTCTCTCATTATACACAGTGTGCTGCAGGATCTGTTTTATGTGGTGCACACATACCACATAGATGTATTCTCTCATATCTAGGCCCAAATGTACCACTCACAGTTTATCAGAGTGAGCTGAGCTCATGGCGTAGATCTAGGGTTTGGACACTCACCGTAAAGCCATAGATCTACGGGACGGACCCTGAAAGGGTTAAACATACATAAACTGATGTGACGTCTGGCTGTGTACATAATGCGTGTCATATGCATCAAGCTATGTGTGAATTTGGATGTTTCAGAATCTGGTTGCATCTTATGTCTGCACCTGGCTTTGTGATCACTTCCTAACCCCATCAAGTGGCATAAAAAGAGGCCATAACTAACTAAGGGCAATGTGTGGTGTAAATATTATGCAGAAAATTCGGAGTGTGGAAATTAGGAGAAGGTGTGGAGTTAATAAAAGCATTAGTCAGAGGGCAGAAGAGGGGTTGTTGAGGTGGTTTGGTCATTTAGAGAGAATGGATCAAAGTAGAATGACATGGAAAGCATATAAATCTAT